GGTCCCCCCGGGCCCCCCCCCCCCCCCAGCCATGTGTCCCTGCAAATGCTGGGAATTCCCCAGCCTGGGTGGGAACTTCTGGGTCACCGCCTGGCCTCACTGATGCTGGGGCTTATGGGCCAGAGCAGAGGCTCCCCAGACGCTTCCTGGCCCAGCCGGGGCTCCCCAGCCCCTGTGTTGCTCCGGAGGCTTTTTGGTCCAGCAACATCCCTGACCCGGCCAGACCACGGACATTGCTCCTGCAAATGCTGGGAATTCCCCAGCCTGGGTGGGAACTTCTGGGTCACCGCCTGGCCTCACTGATGCTGGGGCTTATGGGCCAGAGCAGAGGCTCCCCAGACGCTTCCTGGCCCAGCCGGGGCTCCCCAGCCCCTGTGTTGCTCCGGAGGCTTTTTGGTCCAGCAACATCCCTGACCCGGCCAGACCACGGACATTGCTGGACCAGAGAGTCATGGATTTCTGAGGTTCACCTGTACCTACAAAGGCATGTACTCAATCAGTGACTGTCAGAAGTAACTGTGATGGTTGCGGTCACAGACGACCCCTCCGGGGTGCCTCCTGGGGTTCTGACACGGCCACTGCCACTCAACTTCCTGCTCTCTGGGCCTCCTCACCACCCAGTCCTGCTGGGCCAGCCCCGCTGGTCTCCCCAGCCAAGGCCCCAGCCCTACCCCCACTGAGAAGCAGTACAGACACTGAACCACTCCAGGTCCAAGGAGAGTGCAGTTTAGGGCCCACCCTCCTGAGAGAGCACTCCCCAGATGGGATCAAACCCCAAAGAATTAAGCAAGCCCCCTTTAGCAATGAAAGGGGGAATGTGCACACTGGATGCTCCCCCCCACCCCGGTAACAATCGCTTACACTGGGTTTGATAGAAATAAAAGTGGTTTTATTAAGTTGAAGCAGTAGGATTTAAGTAGTAATAAGAGAAAGTAGGCAGAGCAAAGTAGGTTACAAATAATCAAAAGAAACAAACCGCTTGGCTAATTCTCCACTGAAACCTCAGTACAAACTTAAACTCTCCCTAAAACCTCTTTTCCAGCTGCCACTCTAATCCAGCGCTCTCTTCCCCACCCTGGAGTCTCAGGCTCCTTCCTTCAGCTGCAGCCCAGCCAAAAGACCCAGGCCTCTCCTTTCCTATTCCTTTTGTTGAGGAGTTGAGGCCACTCCCTACCAACTCAGACTTAAGGACAAAAGGTTGTTTTACAGTGGTTCATCTAGAAGTTGTGGGTAACACCCTCCAGGTCTCCAGTTCACACATTGGAAACACAAATTATTCCTAACTCCACGTGTCTAATTTTATCCACACAAATGATACATACAACATAGTAAGATAAACAGAACCAGCAGACCATTACATGAAGATTGATGGGTTACATGAAATAATTCTCTCAAACCACCTTTGAGTTATGTATATTCATATCCATGAGTCCAGTTCACAAAGCATGGGGTGGGGGGCTCCGTCAAAGTAACTATTTCCAACAACCAGTGGTGAGACACTGTAATGGGAGAGCTCTGAGTTACCTCAGAGAATTCATTCCCCTGTGTCAGAAGGTGGATCTTTCCCACATGCTCTGGGCCTGACTGATGGCTTTTAATGGGATTGGGAAGGAATTCTCCCTGGGGTAAGATTATCGGATACCTGGGGTTTTTTGTTTGGTTGGTTTTTTGCCTTCCTCTGCAGCATGAGGCAAAGATCACTTGCAGTTTTAAACTTGTATAAATGGTGGAGTCTCTGTAACTTGAAGTCTTTAAATCATTATTTGAAGTCTTCAGTGAATCAGATACATGTTAGGGGTCTAGTACAGGTTGGGTGGCCCATGATGTCCATTCATCTGAAGAAATGGGTTGTGCTGACGAAAGCTAATGATATATGCTTTGTTAGTCTTTAAAGTGCTGCTAGACTATTTGTTGTTTTTTAAGATGTTCAGGATATCAGACTAGATCAGGGGTCTCCAAACTTTTCAGCCCGAGGGCCGCATTAACTATCAAACAGCAGTTCGGGGGCCGACTACACACTTGAGGTCCAAATAAAAAACAATCAAAACATGGATGTTGTTTTTAATTATTTATTTAATATTATTTTATTCAGTTATTATTTAATAACACATTCATACACTACACATGAACACCTGTATTAGTGTGAATGGTGAAATTGTTTCCTGGATGCCAAAATAGCAGACATTTCTGGCTTTAGATTTGTTGTCCCTAACATCAACAGTGACCTGAGATTATCATCGGACAAGTTTGTTCTCAAATTGTTCTTCACGTATTTCATTCTTGAAAATGTTTGTTCACACAGGTATGTTGTTCCAAAGATTGAAAGGTACCTTGATGCAAAAGTTTTGACATTAGGAAAGTCTTCCTTGGGCAAAAACTGGTAAAAACCCACCAGTCCTATTTTGAACTTGTCCCTAAGGAGGTCATTTGCTTGCAACTCAATGACTTCCAGCTGCAGTTCATCTGGGCAACTGGCCACATCTGCTTCAAATGGGTTTTGAAACAATCTCACTTCTTCTGCCTTTGAATCCAAAAAGGTCTCCACGGGCCGGATGAGAGGCCCTCGCGGGCCGCATCCGGCCCCCGGGCCGCAGTTTGGAGACCCCTGTCTTAGGGTATAGATTATTGTTCAAACATAAAGACTAAAATGAAACAATTGAATTGAAAATGTGGACTGCTGCCCCACACGCTTTTCCTTTGCCTCCCTTCATTTCCAACATGTCTTCT